CCTGGCCCCCCCACTTTCGAAAACGTTCCTACGCCTATGGCTGCACACGATTAAACCTGTCACTAAAGCTTGGCGCTCCTCATGTAGAAACAATAGACAAGAGGAGAAGAAACTATGCAGGCTTAGAATAGGGCACACATACTTGACACACTCTCACCTTTTTTCTCAAAACCCCCGACCAAGATGTGACATCTGCGATGAGCATATCACAGTCTCGCATGTGCTTCTGCAATGCCCAAAATATAGACAACAGAGACACGCTCTCCAACACCACTGCCAATTGAACAATATTAATTTTGCTCTTAGTACGCTGCTTGGCAATGATAGCCCTGTGTTGTTAAATTTGGTTTTTACTTTCTTGAGAGCTACAAACCTCTACGACTCCATCTAAATGAGCAATGTGCAAATGACAATTCTTATCTCACGAACACTTATGAAACACCATATATTGTACCTAACGCACATATGTCTGTAAAATGTATTGCTGAATGTTGATGTGTATGTTATATGTATTGATATGCAAGTGTATGTACTAAACTGCTGTGCCATGTATAATCACATGAAGGGCAATGGCACGAAATGACCTGTGCAGGCCGAAGTGCCAGTCAATAAATGAATGAATGAATGAATGAGATTTGCTTGCGTGCTTCAAAAATGATATAAAAGAGAACATCATTAACATAGTCATTTAATACGAAATTGTCGTCCAGCGATGCTTTTCTCCCGGCCCATGAAAGAAAATACCTTGCACAGCAGCGCAGTGATCAAGATAGTCGATAAAAGGGGCTTGCAAGATCAGACAACCAGGTTGAAAGTGAGCGCCAAATCTCGTCTTCGACCCGCCACGGATGTCACACGACAAACGAAGTACTCTAACTCAGTATTTAATTAAAAATGAACACAATATTTTCGGCCACATATCTGTTATTAGGTTGGCGTAAGTCTCATGCAAACTACATGAAGCAAACATGAAAGAATTCCAAACAACGAACCACTTACTGGGCAGTGGCCCAGTCCGTGGGTCCGCAACCGACGAACTCCAATTGTATTGTATTGTATTGAACTCCAATTGTAAACTCCAATTGTCCCTCCCTTCCTCCAAGTAATTGTTATCAAATTTGCCCACTACTTATTACGACCGAATCGACAATTTACGACATTTGTACTAGTGTGAAGGTAGTTGTACGTCTGCTATACGTAGCTGCGAATAACAAGGCACGCTTTTGTATATATAATCCTGATTGTGTCTCTGGTATTGTCTTATAATTGTGTCTTTGTTATTGTGTCTTTGGATCACCTACAAGAGGTAGCGATTTTTATGGCGCATGTGTACTTCCCATCGCCAATTTTGAAATTTTGTGAAAATGTGACAAATGTGACAATGCATTTCGCTGAAGCAGTGGCAATAAAGACCACGAAACTGTCCGATAAAGCCGAGTTATATTTATTTTAACGAATTAACGAGCCGAGCACGTTTCATAAGATAATTTTCAATAAATCATGTGCTTTTTCGATCCGTCAAAATACACCGGGAGGTATGGGCCATTGCCCGGGAGGTATGGGCCGGTGCCATGATGTTTCATATTCTTTTCTCAACAATGAGAATAATACTCGTAGCTGGTATCTACCTTGATCTCTCTTAGAGCCCGGGAACCGCATAAGCGGCCAACAGCTTACTTCATGGAGGTCACTTGCATAGGCGTAGGAACGTTTTCGAAAGTGGGGGGGGCCAGGGTCCCAGAGGTCCAAAACCTAACCTACCCCCAAAATCCGATTTCTCCTCGGATTTCGGCCACTTTGTTTTCGCAAACATGCTCAGAGGCAAAAAAAAATCGAGACAAAAAAAAAGAAAAAAAATTTGTTGAAATTTCAGGGAGTCTCCCGTCCATAAACTCAAACTGATGGACGCGTTCCCCTGTCCTCCGCAGCCGTTGGCACCTATGCAAATTCCAGAGGCATCCAGCAACTTTTTCATTACGAGCAAGCGTGAAACGTGCAAAGCGAGTCTTTTCAATATACCTATAAAAAGCAGCATGAACGGCCCAGCTAGGCTCAGCCAGGCCTATAACGTTTTTAAGAGGTTTTATATCAGCGACCACTGCAACGGCATCAGGTCTTCAGAATCCCGTGCAAGGCCTCATAGGCTAATGTGGGTCCTTACAGGTCAGCATGGGCCCTTAGAGGTCAGTGTGGGGCCCTAAAAGACCGGCATGGGCCGGCGTTGGACCCCTCAGGCCAAGGTGGACCCTCAGAGGCCGATGCGGACCCTTAGAGGCCGGCATCGGATCTTCGGAATTCAGTGCGGGGCCCTCAAAGGCACCTAAAGGCTAGTCTTGGGATCCCATAGACAGAAATGAGGCCACCAGAGGCCGGTGTGAGGCCCTCAGACGCCGGCTGGGCCCTTGAGGCCGGTTTAGGGGCCCTCAAATGAGGTCAATGTGGGTTCTCAGCGGTCAATGTGGGCGCTTGACCGCCACTGAAGGGCCCTCCGAGATCAGTGTAGGACCCTCAAAGACTGGTTTGGGAGCTGTTAATAGCTAGCGTGGGATTCTTGAGTCTCGTGACAATCGAATAAGGGCCAGAGCCCCATACGCCCATGGGGGCCCATTGGTTGTTTGGGGGGGCCAAATGATATGATGGCCCCCTGATTAGCCTTTGGAGGGGGAAGGGCATGGCCCTGATCCCCCTCTGCGACCGCCACTGCACTGAAAGTGGAAGGGGGAGGGGCAGAAACAGACATTGCTGGCCCCCAGCCTGTTTGAACCGAGGCTGAGGCACGGTCACCCTGGCCCCCAGCTAGTACGCCTTTGACGAACTATGCCGACCCCAAGCAGATAAGGTCAAGCGTTGGTCGTTTGTATACGCATTCTCCTGCACCGTGCGTATTGTCTTAGTATTGCCTATACCTTTTTAGTGCTCGCTGTCCCGCGCCTCGTATTCAACAAAATGCTGTCACCAGGACTCACAGTCTTGTCTCTGATATGGTTTCCTTCATTGAGTGAAGGAAATTGCGGTCAATAACGCTGTAGAAACAAAAAGGAATCCTCATTAAAGGGCAAGCTGAATAGTTGTCAAGTTACCGGGTGGTAGGTTAGGTACAGACAGACACTTAAAGGGACCCTCCCACCTTAACATTAGATTTGAGTTGAGATAGCCAAAATGGGGTCCCTGGCTCACAATTACCGGTTTCGGCACTCACAACATCGAGAAATGCCTTAAATCGGAAATATTGAATTTCAAAATTGCAGCATTTTGATTCAGAGGGGCTAATGCTTAGGAATACCCCTCTGAATGTGTGACGTCAGCGCAGATATCTAACGCTTTTTAAATGTTTGACTAAAACGTTTTGTAGCACGCGGTGGTATATGCTATTTGCGCGCAACATCTGCCGCAAACGCCGCACTTCTAAAATAAAGTCGCTAGAAACAGCGGAGATCCCAAAAAAGTAAACAAAAGTAAAAGTCTAATATCTTGAAAACCGGTGAATATTTTTCGGTGAAATTTGGTAGATATTCGTTTTCGCTCTTTCTGAACCGAGCGACATCATTTTCATGCCAATTCATAAACTTTTTTGAAGGTGGGAGGGTCCCTTTAAGTCAGCAAAAAGTGGGGGGGGGCCAGTTAACATTGCTGGCCCCCCACCTCCGAAAGTGGGGGGGCCATGGCCCCCCCGGCCCCCCTGTTCCTACGCCTATGGTCACTTGGGCCCATATGTATTTTGGTGAACTCAATCGTGCACCATGAAATAAGATCAATAATATTGTTCTGTTCGAATGAAATCTGAAGTTAAATTTTCGACTTTGCGTGACAAAAATAAAAGTTATTGACGGGGACATTCAATGAAAGCATCTTTTTATTTATTTAGGATCAACGGGGTGGGTGGCCCGAACCTCCCGGTTAGGACGTCAGAATGTGCGTAGCATTCCGTCTCATAATCTTGCAAGAAAGCTTCAAATTGTCTATCCAGTCATAATTTTCATGCTTTAAACTTTATGTTGGCGATGGTCTGACATCATAAAACGAGCCTGGTTCAAATTTATCACAAATTTTCTGTATGTACCGTATTTTACTCGAAGGGGCAAAAACGCTTTATCACCGCTCATTGCCAAAGAAGACTCAGGAAGATTTTGAAAATCACTTGGGTTGTATAACGGAATGGCTGCTACCAGTTAACGCCGTCAAATGTGTAAAAATACGCAACACTTCTTCAAAACTGCGATGGCCCATACCTCCAGGGGGCCCATACCTCCCGGGTCTCCCCTACATACATTTTCTGTTCGGATGAGGTCAACTTGAGGTGTTGACCTCGGGTCAAGGTCAGATCAGTGCCCTAGGTCACGAAGCTTGTCGAAGGAGGTCATGTTGCATATCACTCGATTCGGCAGGTCTTCTTGAGCCCATTGGCGGCTTCCCCGACTCGCTAGCTCAATTTGATCGGGAGTTGTTGACGACAAATATGACCCAAGTGACGATTTAATGACGTCACGCAAGGTCAACAATGCAAAAGTGAAGCATCGAACTTTGCAAGGAGTAAATGAGATTACGATTCCGACGTGCTTGAAATAATTTGAGATCGTGCCTGGCGCCAAAACAGCAGTTTTCATCGTTTACTTATAATGGTGAGGTCGCGTGACTACCTGACCTCATGTGACGTTTAGGGAAAATCCGAGATATACAAGTTGTGAGACCTCAGGAGAATACTACATCCTGTAAGTTTCATCTCCCTGTGAAAGTTCCCCTGGTTCTGAGGTCGTTGCAAAGATGCGACATCTGAGGTCCGTGCAGCTGTTCACTTATGACGTCATAGGTCAGTGACCTGACCTTAAAATGCGGTTGGCGCCACAAGGCACAAAATGCAGCTTGGATCAAAGGTCAGGTAGGCTACGTTTCAGGTCTCTATCGCCGGCGTGTTTGGAGCTATCGTGAAAAAACCTATTGGGGCGGCGGCACCCGGGGATGGTTAAGGCAAAAAAAAAAAAATGTTTCCTCAAAAGCCTTTGTTAAGATCGTATTGTTTGTATTGCACTTCTCACGTATTTGAGTCATGAGGTAGGGATAATGAAATCTTACATAACAAAGTGAGCAATTACATGGTTCATGGTTGGTACGGCACATGTAAGGACAAGCATCATATGACAACTTGAGTTCCATAGAATAGAAACCAACACAGTTGGCAACACCGCATTTGGCTTGCTAAAGCAAATAATTTACGGTTAGCGTAGTTACCGAGTTACTAGTTACATCATTATGACAGTCAGTTAGTCACATGAAACAGATGCGCGGCGGTTATTCTTTGGAAGTACATCGAACAAAAAACACATCAGGGACATACCCAAACGATCGGCACCGCCGTTACAACTTTGTTTTGTTTTGTTGAGCTAGTCTCTTTCGGTCCAATGAGACCATTGCAGAGCCAAGAGGATGCTAGGAATTAGGGAGTGACATTGGTCTGGGCACGCACCCTAGTGAGTCGCCGGGCATCCGATAGGAGAGGCCGACCAGCCCCAAAGCACTCACTGCACCAGACTACGGGAGATAGTCTGGTGCAGACAGACTACGCGGTAGAGGTGGCAAAATGTGGACCCGAGGACCCGGTCCAAAGAACCAGTCTGGACCCATATGGGTCCAGACCGGTTCCTGGAAATTTTCTGACGGGTCCAACCGGGTCCTACCATAAACTATACATCTTGCGCACCACACACTATTGCAAAATATTAAGCGAATGAAGTGAATGTTTCTTTGCACACAGTAGCTCATGAGTATTCCCAGTGGGAAATAGGCTGTTTTACATAATGCAACTAATGATACCTAAAAGTAGTTTGTATTAATTGACTTTTGGGGGACGGGTCCAACTGGTTCCGCGATTCCAACTAAGACCGGGTCCGACTGGTTCCAGAAATGTCCAGCCGGGTCTGGTTCGAGTCTGGTTCCCAAAATTTTCCTCTTTTGCCACCTCTACTACGCGGCCGCCCTTAGGAGCTGAGGTGCGCTCCAATGGGAGAGCCCACATGGAATAAAGTTGCCTGTCCAGCCCGGAGAAGGGGTTGCGGCGTGGAGGAGAAGGATTTGAATATCTTGAGGATGGAAACGACGGAACGGGTGCCACTAAAATCCACTAAATATCACATTTCACACCTCACACTTTCCTAACGTCCAATACAGACAGTGCCCTCAAGGCTCAACTCACAGTGTGTAACGGGCAACGAATTCCCACAAACCCCTGGTAGATTCAAAATCGGAACACATCATCATCACATACCCCCGCACGTTGCAAATAATTGAGCACATCCTTCTCGAATGACCGTGTACCGCACACCAGATAGCGCGTTGACCCTGCGGCCGACTGAAGCGCCACCTCTCGCACGTCCCGCTCCTGTAGGCGGCGCCACCGTACGGGCTCTCCGTAGCGGGGCTCGGCGCCGTCCGTTCCCTCCCCGGCTCCGCTGACAAACAGCTGGTAGGTGAAGTTCCAGTAGCTGGCCCACTGTGCCAGCTGGTCCCGCGGGAACACGTCCTGGAGACGCCGCACAGCCAGCAGCAGCGTCAGTCGCGTCTCCGAGTCCTCGTCCTCCACTGCCGCCCGGACCAGGTTGACGAACGGCGCCACACCGGTGCCGGCGGCGAGCAGCACCAGTCGCCGGTCGGCCGACCGCGGCCGGTATTCGCCAAACGGCCCGCTCCACAGCGCCGGCTGGCCCACCCGCCAGTGGCGCACGCAGCTCGACATGGCGCCGGACGGATACAGACGGATGTACACCTCGAAGTAGCCCTGAGCGTCAGGCGGAGAGACGGGTGTGTAGGCGCGCGTGACGCTGCGCCCGGCGTCGTCGCCACGAAGACGAAGGTGGCCGCCCGGCGGCAGACAGAGGGACGTCCCTGCTGGCAGCGCGAACCGGTACAGACTGGCCGAGTCTGACAGAGCCGTGATGGACGTCAGCGTCAGGGCCGTGAAGCGGTCTGGTTGGAGCGGGCTGGCGCTGGTGGTGGCCAGTTCGGGCTGCCGTAGCCGCCGCCGCCGCCACGCAGCCAGGTCTCGGTCGTACAGGTCGAACACGCATGGTGAACAGCCGCTGCCGCAGCACTCGGAGTCGAGCGGCCGCCGCGGCTCCTCACCAGTGTGAGTGTCGGGGCTGTGGTAGCTCTCTGCACGGTCCAGCCTGCTGGGAGACTCGTTAGAGCTGTGGTTTAGCTCAGTTGAACTCTCGTCAGCTGAGTTTGTTGGAAAAGAAGTCTCCACAAAGATGCACTCATCACTGTTTGATGAGTGATCTGATACTGATGACTCTTGCTCATAAGAATTCATCCTTCATTGCATGGTGGGGCGACCTTTTAGATACGAACTACCTGCAAATGACTCAAACCAAACCAATTTCAAGATTGAGAAAGACTGAAGGGAGACAAGTGTTGCAAATCAATTCCATTTCAATTTGATACTATCATACTACGCTGGTTGAGTGACACTTGTTAAGGTGAGTGAGACTGAGGTCCACCATTTTTCAAAAGCAATATTTAAGTAGATCTCATATTTTGCAACAGTGTGATGCTGGCATCCTCAAAGAAACAGCAGAAATGAAAATGATGCCTAATTCTGAAACTGTCTCTCAGTCATCTGTCCGAACCCAAAGTGCGAAATCAGGGCACCAGTTTTCTGATCACCGACCACCTGGAAGGGAAAAATGGTCATTTAACAAGACTTCATTTGCAACATTTTCATTAAACGGCCCAAAATTGAAATGCAAAGTAGGTAAATTAAATCCCGAAATTGCCGGTCATTCACATTTCACAGATTTTCATCCTGACCCAGCATTGGCATTGGTCTCTTCACACAACCAGCCTAATGGTCTCATACAAAGCGTAGCCAATTAATGAGTATGATAATCAATTTCACCTTTGCATAAAAATGAAAAGACGTCGAGATTTGACAAATCCACCCCCCAACACATACAAAGTACAAACCTCATGTCTCATGCCCCTTACAATTCCCAAGGGCGCGACTGTTGTCGCCATGACCGTAACACATGCGCCAGAATAACTGTGCGACACTAAACAGCTGCAATAGTCTTGCACATGATAAACAGCTGCAACATTCCGATGCAAGTCACAGACCATAAATCTAGGATAATCAGAAAATTTTCTTTCACTTGAAAGTTGAAAGATCACTTTTTATTAGAAATTTTGTCCAAATGGATGACTGGGTGGCTATGGGACGTGTGCTCCGGCCCAGGGGTGGATTTATATATGTAGTTGGGGTTGCACGTGCAACCCCAACTTTGAATTGTGCAACCCCAACATCAATTTGTGCAACTCCAACTTCAAAGCTCACTGGAACAACTTCAAACAACACAATTTCAAAGATTTGCATTGATTTGACTTGACCCGCGCACCGACAGGGGGGATTAACCCTCACGGGCCCGGGGCGTTTTTCGCCCCCCCCCCCCTGGCGAATATTTGCGATAGCTCCCGAACGCTTAGGGGTAGGAAAGCGAAACTTTCAGTACCTTTTCTCCAATCAATTTGACATCTCGCGAAGTGAAAAAATTGGACCTAGCCCCCTTGATGACGTCACAGGGTCGATTTTTCTAGACCCCTGCACGGCAAACTTCGGCGTCACAGACGCAAACTTCAAACAGCTGCTAAAAATAGAGTCTTAGAGATAAAGACAAATTACGAGCACAGTTGTGTAGCGTTTGACCTAGAGAAAAAATAGAAAAAGAGGTCAGGTCAACAACCCCGAAATGTGTTTTTAGTTTTTTTTTCGCAAATAACTTCGACAAAAATGGTCTTAGAGCTACGGCAGTGGTACCATCGCATTCGTCTTGTCAAGCCGCGTCGAATGATATATATTTTGTTTGGAAAAGGTCAAGTTTTATGTTGACCTCATGTGACCTCGGATGACCTTTGGTTGACCTTGACACATGAAAGGTCGCTTATGATGGATTTGTACCCGCTAATCACGAATCTGGCATCTATTCTCCTCCAAGCCTTCATTTAGAGCTTCCGGGTGGCAAAATTGTCTTATTTATTATTACTAACTTGAATCAATGAAATAGCCTCTAGCGACTAGCAAGGATACTCTCCTGTGACCTTGACCTTTGAGCAGCCTTGTATCGTAAGATGAACCACAAATAGGGAACTGATAAGCCTCAAAACATTTCAAAACATCTTGGAAGTTAGCACGCAAGATGTACGAAAAAGTGCAAAGTTTGAGGTCAATTTTGAGCATGACCTTGACCTTAACCTTTGATTTTGAGCACAGGTTCGGAATCCTCAGAATCGCTTCTTTCGTTTGACATCCATTTTTGCCGGTTTGATACATTCTGCCGTCCTCTAGAACGCTTACTTTGAGATCACTACACATGTGCCGGTTTTTGCCTTTGACCTTGACCTCTGACCTTGAAAATTGACCTGAGATCAAACATTTTAGGTGCTTTAGAATCGTCTCGTGAGGACCTTTCGTTTGGTATCGCTTTAATTTATGTAGCGCCCTTATTTACGGAGTTAGACGGGGGGGGGGGGGCGAAAAACGCCCCCGGGCTGCGGTGGTTGGGTTTACCCCCCGGGCCCGGCCGGGTTAAGCTCCCCCGAGATTCTAGACCCAGCTCTTGACCCAAGCAGACGTGTCACGTCTGGCTCCGTTAGGCCCGTTCTGTCCGGGATTTAGAACTGTTAGATTAGGCAGGGCATACTTGGCAAACTTAGATTCTTCTTCTTGCCTTTTCGTCTCTCCACTGCATGATTCGTTGTTTCGGTTTTTTACTTCGTTTTTGGAACTTTAAAATATAACAACCCGCTCTTTTAATTAATTCTTTTACTTGGGGCCGTTTGGATCGAACTGATTGAATTTAAGGAACACGCACCAGGTTGATATTCTCTATTTCTGATTAACGTAAAACCTAGTCACCGATATGTGGTGAACACTGAACAGCCCCACAGCACCACAGGTTATCCGCCCACCCCCCTGAAATTTAATATGCCTATTTTCTCATTAATTTTACACATGATGTGCAAGTTTGAACCTCCTTACTTTTAAGGTCAGGGTCGCCAGATCACTTTGAATGACCCAACCTCAAGTCACTTTTTGCAACTTTGTCACCGTGTCAGAGCTACAGTAGATGACTGAGTCCTTTGAAAGTCGGATGACGTTATAAGGTCATTGGTAGCTACAATTTGCATATCTCGGAAATTTGATATCGATGACCTAAGGTCAGGTCAATTTCTCGACCTCCCCATTATAAGTCAAGGGGGGAAAAATCAACTCCCTGTTTTTTTCACTAAAACGCGTCAGAATGGCCTCATATACTATACTTGACTTCATATACGATCAACCTTCATTACCTTGACACCTGTTTTGCTGTTGGGCAGCTGTAAGGTCATGTGACGTCATCAAAGGTCACCAACGCTTTTTTGCCAATAACTCCTTACAGGAACAAGATACAGCCACGCAGACGGTCTCATTGTGTTCAGCTCGTCAAGGCGCATGGAATGACATGCATGATGACCTCGAGGTCACGTGACCTGAGGTCAACCTTTGACCTTGACCTTTCGAGGTCAACATATATATTGTTCGATGCGCATTGACGAGAGGATCACGATGGTGCCCTTAGTTTGCTCTTAGCTTGGCTAATTCGAAAGTTATTCGAGAAAAACTCTCTCCATATCTAGCGCCGCCATTTTGACTTTTTGACCCCTGTGACGTCATCTTTGGCCTGACTTGAAAATGACCTGTAAAATTGTAGACCTTGTCCGTGCGTACCCCATGCCGTTTACCGCTTGCCGCTATCTTGCTTCGTTCTCGAGATATCAGGGGGCGGTCACCCGCCCCCCGTCGGTTCTAAGTTTATTTATTTATTTATTTATTTATTTATTTATTTATTTATTTCACTACGCTGTCTACGCTGAGCCAGCCCAGGTGATCTATGACATCGCTGATACTGTCGAATTTCCTTCGACCTGACACCACTCGAGCAGCGAATCTCACCACCTTCTGTAACCTTCTGCGCTGAGTTACGTTGCTGGACCCGTACACACACGACAGTAACGGAGCAAGTTGGCGCAGATCCCCGTCGGTGCGCGGGTTAACAAGTACACGGCTCAGCCCTGTTAAATGCAAACATGCGCAGGTCTTTACCTAGTAGCCGCATGATTATAACTAGCAATGCAGTCGTTCACACAACAATGACAAAGCAAACTTTGAAAGCTAGTCTAACGAACTATATGTGAGTGGGTTGGGTTGTAAGAACAACTACCATGACAAACAATAGGGTTTTACGATGACATGGCAAAGGGTGCGGGGATTTGCGCTAAATAATTTTCCTTGTAAAAGTAACCAGCATAACGCCTTTTGGGGCGACTGACGGAGTCAGCGAGAGGGTGGGCCTTGCACGTGCGAAATTGCGAGGGGTCCTCCAACTGACTTGTGCACGGCACCCTACTAACCGGTCTCTAGCGATGTGCCAAATTTGAGCGCAATCGGCCCAGCCGTTCTTGAGATCTGGAAGCGACACCCTGCACGTGCGCACGTGCAAAATGGGTCCCGACTGACTTTTGCACCGGTCCCTAACTGTGTACCAAATTTGAGCGCAATCGGTCCAGCCGTTCTCGAGATCTGGAAACGACTCCTGCACGTGCGCACGTGCAGTAGCACCCTAACTCTGGCACATGGATATGCATTGCCTAGTGGGTGCCTACCTACATGCCAACTTTCAGCGCAATCGGCCCAGAAGTTACCGAGATATTGCAACAATTCCAAAATTGACACCTCTTCGTTTTGCACGTGGCACGCGCATAAGGGGTCACCCACATGCATCGGAAATAGTCCAATACTTGGTAGAAGGAATGAATGTCATCTAATTGCGAATGAGTGCTTAGTGTTTACCTTAGTGTTTACCTTGTGTGTGTATTTTATGTTGTGGTATGACTTCGCCTGTTAATGGGCCATGAGCCTGTTGGCGATTTATTTGAATAAATAAATAAATAAATAAATAAAAGCTACCCTACAAAAATTACCGCATGTAAATCGGCCAAGCATGGTTGCTGAGATATAAGCCTCGCAAAAGCGTCCGCACGGCCGGCCGGCCGGCCGGCGTTTGTTGAAATGAGTTTACAGTGTAGTTGCGGCCCACCTCCCTGGCCCTGCAGAAAAACTTGTAAGATTAATCGGAAAAAAGCAACGCCAAAAGGACTTTAATACAGGAATACCTGAACTGAGCCGGTCCCGTAGCTCAGTTGGTAGGGCATTGGACTCCGTGTGGTGAGAGCACGCGTTCCCGGTTATAACAGTCCGGGTTCGAAGCGCGACGAGCGGTTGACATTTATGGGCCTCCTGACAGGTATGGTTGCGGTTGGTGGTAGGCCGCAGCCAGGCGAAGTCAGTGAGGGGACCGGCCGCGCGTGGCTATGTGCGCACGTTAAACTTTGGACTCTAAATTCTGCCAAAGAACCAGAATTGCGCGATCGGGCAGGTTCACCGCAACAAGCTTCGCTTAGCGGCTGCTCTGTCTCTGTGAATCCATCAAAAGGTTCAGCCTAAATTTATTAAAAAAAAAAAATACATTGCATAGCAATATCAATTCCTTTCCCGTTGTCGGTGCCTTTATTGAGACGTTTTAGGCGAGTTTAGATAAAAATGGTCATTTTCTTATCCAAACCGTGTGCATTTGTGCCATGTCTGATGAAAAGCGATGCACGTTAGATGATGCACCTTTTTATTATGAATCGGCAATCATTTTCAAATTAATTGCAGCCTTCTGGTAGCGAATCACTTGACTGTTCACTGCATGGTGGTTAAAAATGTGTCACATGCAGCCCATATTTCCCATTTGCGCCCGACATGGTCGCAAATGGCTCAAGAAGGGAAATGAATGGGAGAAGAAAAATGGAAAATGATGGGTTGCTAAAGCTTGTTATGTGTGGCCGGTGATACCAATAGTCATGGTAGACTGCAGGGGTGCCGAATCCAGCGCGGACATCGAATACAAGACGGGCTAACCCCCAA